TCTTAAGAAAAAAAAAAAAAAGGATAAGGCAAAAATAGAAATTGGTAGTTCTCCCTGACCTTTACTTAGAGAGAGATAGATAAATTTAAAGTTTTTAAAGGTATTACATAGCAATGGATGTGCACATGGCTACATGAATTCATTGGCTCTTGCTACAAATTTTATCTCAGTTAGTGTTTCTAGCTAGCAAAAAGATACTTGAAACACAGATTAGATACCAGAAAAGTAGATTCTGTCCAAAGCATTTTCATGTGAGAGGGTAGTCAAATTGAATACGGCAAAATTATATCTTATCTGTGATCTGTGTGCTATTCAGCAGTTTAAAAATCTGAATTATTAATTAAAACCTATGAACTAGTAACATTTTGAAACTACTGTGTGTTTTGATAGTTAACGAGACTTGTATGACTTTTGAGAAAAGGTGATTTCCTTTCATGTCAGCTAATAGAAACCCCATTGTAATCACGGAAAATTGTAGATAAATGACATCTCCAATGGGTGCCATTTACCTGAAAGAGAAAACTGAATGCTAGGTCTATCACTGCTGATTAACACTGTAGACATGGTTGATGTGCCTGGGAGTGTGGAACACTGACAGAGTGGTATTGGAAATATTCAGTCTATAGCTTCTAAATTTCATATAGTACTTCAGTTTCTCAGCACTTTGTTTGACAGTATTTGCTTAGTGATCTTTCAAAAGTAATGTTAATTTAGTGAGAACTTTAAAATATAATAGTATGGAGGGACTTCAATTATTCCTTTCTTAAGCCTACTAAAAATAGAAACAAGAAGTTCAATATATTGACTGCTTCAAAATATAATGTGGGTACATTCCTTTAATCTCAGTACTCAGGAGGAAGAGGCAGGTGGATTTCTGCGTGACTGAGGCCAGCATGGTCTACATAGAGAGTTGCAGGCCAACTGGGGCTACAGGAAAACCCTTTCTCAAAATAATGCATAGTAAGGTAGATTTTATTTAAAGTGATAAAGCTCATTCATAAGGAAACCTCAGCAAATCCAATAAATTTTCTTTTTTCAGTGCTGATGTTTAAATTAAGTACCTCTTGCATATAAGGTAAGTGTTTATCACTGAGATTCTATATGAGTCCCATTAGTTCATAGAGATGGCAACAACAGATATAAGGTCATTTTTTATTCATATCCAAAGAAGAAATGGAGAATATTTGATTAACAATACTCTGTGAAAAACTTGCCAGGCATACCACCTTCCAGATTAGTATTAAACTAATGACTGTTGCTCAAGAACAAATGGAGAAATGGGAGGTGCTATTATAAGGGTTAAGATTAAAAGAATTCCATCTTGGAGGAAAATTTCATTATTAATAATGCATAGTAAATGCATCTTTTATTAAAAGATAAGAACAGGTAGTAGGGAGATGGTTCAGTCATAAAGTGTTGGCTTTGAAAGCATGAGGACTTGAGGTCCATCCCAAGAACATATGTAGAAAAAGCTAGCAGTGGTGGCTTGCACTTTTAATGCCAACAATGGAGAAGTGGAGTTAGGCAGATTCTTGAGTCTTCCTGGTCAACCAACTAGTCTACTTGGTGAGTTTCAGACCAATGAGAGACAGCATCTGAAGGAGTGACACCTGAGCTTGTCCTCTGGCCTCCACATGCCTGTAAATACATGTCTCCCACCCACACACATACAAACCTGCTCACACATACACATCCACATACCCAAAATGTCAAGAAGAGATGAATTTCTGACGTCACATACCAAGTATCATGCATCTGTTTCACTGAACTCAAAACTTTACATTTGGAAAGGAAGAAGAATATTCATTTTGGAAATAATGTGGAATTGGAGTTAGGAATGATTTCTAGCTGCCATGTGGGTGCTGAAAATTGAACCCAATCCTCTGCAAGAGCAGCCAGGGCTCATAGTTGCTGAGGCATCTCTCCAACCTCTCTCAATGCTTCTTGACATCTAAAAATTACAGATCTTCAGTATCTGATTCTGTAAAGCTATTCACTATATTGTACAAATTTTAGAGTCATCCTGTGGAAAATTAGATTGGTTCCTATAACTTTAAATGTAGCACATCTGATGATAAATCCCATTCTTAAAACTCTGGACCTTGTTCCTCTTCAGACCATGGCTGAGATGTTTCATAAACAGTATGATATTATTATACTCTTTTGTTTTTCTAAATAATACATATAATTATCGAAATTATATCACAGTATGGAACTAAGCAATCTTAAAATATACACATGTCATACACATCACCTTTGTGAAATTTTCACAGAGAAATAGGTGTATCTGATTTACTCCTCTAGCATAACTAATGCCAATAATTTTTATGCATATGTCTATAATGGTGACAATGCAGTCCCCGATACCACAGCTTAGCAAATAAAAAGCTCAATGCAAATAACGAACTATTTCTTTGGGATTTGTTGGCCGGTATTGGCCATAAACTCTCAAACACTTTTGCCATTGATCTTGGTAAGCCTCCAGAACTTATAGCCATCCACACCCCCTAGCTCTTACAATCTTTCCACCTACTCTTATACATAAATTCCTGAGCCTTTGGTAGTAGAATGTGAAATAGGTTTCCCATTTAGAGCTGAACACTCTGAAGTATCTTGTTATCTGCATGTTTATCTCTGTATTAATCATTTACTGCAAAAAGAAGCCTTTGATGAGAGTTGAGAGATGCTCTAATATATGGGTACAATGATAAGTCATTAGAAGTCAGTTTAATATTTTGTCCACTTAGCAGAATAATAGTAGTAGGCTCTCTCCAAGGGAACATGACCTGTCTAGCCAGAGCTTCTTGAAACCAGGAACAGAGTCAGGTATGGATTCTATCTTTTGGAGTGGTCCCTAAATCCAGTCATAAAGTTGTTAGTTACATTCATAACATTTATACCACTGGGCATATCTTACCGGGACACTTGTTATTGTAAATCACAGGGTAAACAGATAAGATTGATGATTAATTTTCTCTTTCAGTGGTGTATAGCACCTTCCAGAATTATGAAAACCAGCCAGTAGGGATGAAGCTTTGAGATCAGTACCGGCATGTTTCCTCCATGTTCTGTGATTCATGTGCATAATAGTATCTTCAGCAAGAGAGTCTTACCATTAATTACATGTTTCTGCATTAACCATTACCCACTGATAAAAGAAATTTCTCTAACTGAAGTTTAAAGCAACATATATCTATGGATATAAACCTAAATATTTAGAAGGTATTTTGACAGCACGATCATTTAGCCAAAAAAAAAAAAAAAAAAAAAAAAAAAAACCAAAACAAAACAAAAAAATGGCACGCTAATGCCTGCATCTCTTTTTCTCTCTTATCCAATGTACTGGCAAGGTCAGAGGCCAGTACTGACAAGGCCAGCCTCATATCCCTCTCTTGTTCTAATTCTGGCTTCCCACTTAAGGCTTATAATTTCCTCAGCCACAGATTTTTCCTGTGATTCACAGCACAGGCATAAAATTTCCATCTCTGGAGCAGGCCTCATATACAATAAGAAAGTAATTGGTTACCCCCATAACTGACATGTCACTGTTGCACCATTGTTGCATTTTGCCAACAAGTCAATGGATAAAACCATTGCTGTCTTTTATCCCCCAGAAGTCTACGTGAAGCCTTTCAGCACTATATAAGCTACCCATTAGGATGAGAGTTTCCTGGTCATTTTGAGGTTGATTTCTCTCTGTTCTGCATCCAAAATGGACAGCATCTTTAGCCTAAGAGTCTTACCATTCTATGTATTGTATAAGAGTCTTTTAAATAGGAAGGTAATGGTAGATCTTTCACATCTATGGAGTGGCTTCCAAATGGAAGTGTCTTCCATTTATTGGCACACTAGATAAGGGTGCAGATGAGAGAAATGAAAACATAAATAAATGTCTGTGAGGATTCCATCTCAAATACAAAACAGTGACTAAATATGTTTCTGCTTGGTGTATGTGCCTACAAAGAAGGCTGGGAATTTAATCATTTAGTTAGGCAAGTTTGTTTGACTCCAAGCTTGTTGTCACAAAAGAAGAAAGAAAAGATTTTCACAGGCAGCAGGCTCTGCTTTAGAAAATGATCACAATTTGTAAGGAATATATTCGTGTGTGTTTGCTTGTTTTTAATGAGTCTTCTCATTTTCCTGTTAGATGCTAAACAGAGTAAGGGTGAGTAAGCCTTTTGTTCTGTTTGCCTTACAAATACATCTTGTGCCCAGAAACAGCATTCCTTTCTTTTAACAGGTGGTCAGTTTTTTGAGTAACTGACTGTATGAAATAAAAAACAAATTTTGCAGGTGAAAAAAATGATTCTCAGAGGAAATTAAACAATTTACCCATTACTGGGTACTGAGTAACTATTGTCTATGAGCACTGAAAGATTTAAATCTTAGATGGCCAGATTATCAAAATAGGGAGTAAGGTGTCCTCCATATCTGATTTTTTTAGACTTCTTTGATATAAGAAAGCACACTATCCCAAAGAAGTTCAAGAAGTATATTTGTGAAGGAATAAAGAGGAAATACAAAATATATTTCCTTTCTCACTAGTTCTGTCAGAGGGAGGTCTTTATCTCATGCCTAAATTCTCACAAACAACTTTCAACCATCAAAATGGCAGCCATCAATCAAATATGTTAGAAAACTTCAGCATATGACTTGATACAATTTTTAACCACACTCTTTCCTGACAGATTAAATGTGCTCAGTCTAAAAATATGCTAAGCCATAGATTGTCTGAGAGAATAAAAGTAAACAGATAGTGATTAATTCTAATAAACATAATTATCACAAACTCTGCCAGTTTATAAAATGGAAGATAGAAAGGAATGCAAGAATATGAATGAATACTGCAGATAGATTAATCATCAACTGTTCTGGTCAGTCAAGTATGAGTATTCATTGCCCTTAACAATAAAGTCAAGTTCTTAAAATAGTCAGCTTTTTCTTTAAAATAGCTCATCTGAAAATAAGGACTTCTAAACCTATTCTCTTTGTTTTCTAAGATATTGAAGATTTTGAAACCAAAACAAGAAGCACAGTGTCTGTCCGAGAAGGCCAAGGTGTGGTGCTCCTCTGTGGCCCTCCACCACATTTTGGAGGTATGTTGCGGTAGTTTGGTTACAGAAATCCATGGGATTCATCAAAATGTGAAGGGCCTTAGTGACTGACAACCCTCCATGCAAAGGAACCACTAAGGCTCAGAATGTTCATCAATTGCACAGAAATAATCCTACATTTCAATATTTTCATTTAAAATGATGTTTTCATTTAGATATGGAACAAATGTTTCTCTAAGTAGATGAAACAGGAAACTCTAAACAGGGTTGGTGTTGGATCTTTATGCTAAAACTGAGCTTGTGATCTCATGTGACACAGCCTTCATGACAAAGGGAAATTCACTTAACTCTTTCAGTCTGTTTCCTCATATGTAGAGTAAGACAATAATTGATATTTATATTTAGTTCTATTAACAAAGTTATATAATCTAATCTAAATTCATTGGTTTAATGGCCAGACCCTTATTAAAAAGGAAAGCTAATGAAACAGGGAAATTCCACATATGAACTCATAGCAACTGTGCCAACATGCACAAGACCTGCTCAATTTAAGCCAGAGAAAAATCCAGCATAGGGTGAGGAGGAGGGCACCAAGCACCACTCTTAGCCAAGGAGCTGCTGAGAGAGGAGGAATCAGCTTTCTTTAAGTGGTGGCCCCCCAGTTAGGTCAACCATGTTCTGGTACACTCTCAAAAATATTTTAGCAAAACAAACTGGACAGGATGGGGAAAAATGTATCTGAGAGGAGGTAGGAGGGGGATATGATCAAACTAAGCTGTATGAAACTCTCAAAAGATTAATAAAAATTTTTTGTAAAAAAGACAGCCAAGACCAACAGGAAAGTATAACCAAAGATTAAAGGGGTGAATACAATTTCATAAGAGTCCATATGTATAGCTAAAGGCTACATAACAAGCAACAATGCCAGACAGGCAGTACTTTCTTTTGAGTTGTTGGCCAGGGTGGCCAAAGGGATGCCCAGATAGTAATCCAGCAAAGAACTGGGAAAATGAACAGCAGACCCCAATCTTATCCAAAGGAATATTGACAGCTGATTACCGCTAGATGAGGATCAGCTGACCCTCCTAAAACAAAGACCTCTAGATAGGCTGACTAGATTCACCAGAAGGGCAAGTAGTGGGGAGTGGCTGGGGGTGCCGACAATACAGCACACAGTAGCAGGGATGGATATCAGAGAATAAGGGCTCTAGTGGGGGGAGGGAGGCTATGGGAGGGTGCTATCTGGGAAGTGGGTGTAAAAATAAATTAATTAATTAAAAAATAATAATTAAAAAAAGCCAAGATTATTTCATTTTTATTTTGGGCCACTATGGAGAGGTGAATTTCAGTACTTAGTATTCACACAGTAACTATTGGAAGAGAGAGTTACCTGATTAATCAAAGCAAATTTTCGCACAACATTGAATGAGAATACTGCTTAGCAATGGTGAAAGTAGAACAATAAAAACAACCTGTTTTGGAAGTCTAGACTGATCAGAAAACTCGGCTACTTTTTCTCTTCTCCCTTGGCATTGCATTTTTTTTTTTTTTTTTCAGTTTCCAGCTTTTTTAAATCTATGGTGAAAAATGATTCTCAACTCAGACCTATGGTACATAGTGTCAAAGCATACATGGCCTCTCTCCTTTTACCTTGTCCAATATCACACTTCCTATACTCTCCTTCTTTTGCTTTGAAAAACACTCTCAACAAAAGCAATTTGGGGAGGAAAGGGTTTATTTGGCTTTGACTTCCAGGTTCCAGTCCATCACTGAGGGAAGTCAAGGCAGAAACTCAAGCAGGAGCTGGAATTAAAACATGAAGGAATGCTGCTTCCTGGCCTGGCCTCCAGCTCCTGCACACAGTCTCATGCTCAGCTAGCTCTCCTATATAACTCAGGAGAGCCTGCCTAGGGATGGTTCCACTCACAGTGGATTAGGCAATCCTACATCAAGTAATAATCAAAATAGTTCCCTACAGACAAGTCTATGGGCCAATCTGATCTAGACAGTTTCTAAAATGATGCTTCCCTCTCAAATGACTCTAGGGTATGGCAAGTTCACAATTAAAGATAACTAGAAAAATTATAGAGAGAGCTTCATAGAAAACATGCACAGCAAGACTATATTTTATTTTGATTAAATTCTAAAATTATTTTTTTCCAATTTTACTGAAATTTTTGAAGTGAAGGGCCTTAGTGACTGACAACCCTCCATGCAAAGGAACCACTAAGGCTCAGAATGTTCATCAATTGCACAGAAATAATCCTACATTTCAATATTTTCATTTAAAATGATGTTTTCATTTAGATATGGAACAAATGTTTCTCTAAGTAGATGAAACAGGAAACTCTAAACAGGGTTGGTGTTGGATCTTTATGCTAAAACTGAGCTTGTGATCTCATGTGACACAGCCTTCATGACAAAGGGAAATTCACTTAACTCTTTCAGTCTGTTTCCTCATATGTAGAGTAAGACAATAATTGATATTTATATTTAGTTCTATTAACAAAGTTATATAATCTAATCTAAATTCATTGGTTTAATGGCCAGACCCTTATTAAAAAGGAAAGCTAATGAAACAGGGAAATTCCACATATGAACTCATAGCAACTGTGCCAACATGCACAAGACCTGCTCAATTTAAGCCAGAGAAAAATCCAGCATAGGGTGAGGAGGAGGGCACCAAGCACCACTCTTAGCCAAGGAGCTGCTGAGAGAGGAGGAATCAGCTTTCTTTAAGTGGTGGCCCCCCAGTTAGGTCAACCATGTTCTGGTACACTCTCAAAAATATTTTAGCAAAACAAACTGGACAGGATGGGGAAAAATGTATCTGAGAGGAGGTAGGAGGGGGATATGATCAAACTAAGCTGTATGAAACTCTCAAAAGATTAATAAAAATTTTTTGTAAAAAAGACAGCCAAGACCAACAGGAAAGTATAACCAAAGATTAAAGGGGTGAATACAATTTCATAAGAGTCCATATGTATAGCTAAAGGCTACATAACAAGCAACAATGCCAGACAGGCAGTACTTTCTTTTGAGTTGTTGGCCAGGGTGGCCAAAGGGATGCCCAGATAGTAATCCAGCAAAGAACTGGGAAAATGAACAGCAGACCCCAATCTTATCCAAAGGAATATTGACAGCTGATTACCGCTAGATGAGGATCAGCTGACCCTCCTAAAACAAAGACCTCTAGATAGGCTGACTAGATTCACCAGAAGGGCAAGTAGTGGGGAGTGGCTGGGGGTGCCGACAATACAGCACACAGTAGCAGGGATATCAGAGTATAAGGGCTCTAGTCGGGGGAGGGAGGCTGTGGGAGGGTGCTATCTGGGAAGAGGGTGTATAGTTGAATGAGATGATTTGGGATGTTCTTTGTGATACACACACACACACACAATGAACAAATTTAAAAAAATGAATTTTATTTGAGGAGGAAGCATAAAAATTGACATGTTAATTAGTAGAGGCGATAAACATTACCATTGAAATCTACGCATTTTTTTTTTTTTTTTTCAGATTCCAGCTTTTTTAAATCTATGGTGAAAAATGATTCTCAACTCAGACCTATGGTACATAGTGTCAAAGCATACATGGCCTCTCTCCTTTTACCTTGTCCAATATCACACTTCCTATACTCTCCTTCTTTTGCTTTGAAAAACACTCTCAACAAAAGCAATTTGGGGAGGAAAGGGTTTATTTGGCTTTGACTTCCAGGTTCCAGTCCATCACTGAGGGAAGTCAAGGCAGAAACTCAAGCAGGAGCTGGAATTAAAACATGAAGGAATGCTGCTTCCTGGCCTGGCCTCCAGCTCCTGCACACAGTCTCATGCTCAGCTAGCTCTCCTATATAACTCAGGAGAGCCTGCCTAGGGATGGTTCCACTCACAGTGGATTAGGCAATCCTACATCAAGTAATAATCAAAATAGTTCCCTACAGACAAGTCTATGGGCCAATCTGATCTAGACAGTTTCTAAAATGATGCTTCCCTCTCAAATGACTCTAGGGTATGGCAAGTTCACAATTAAAGATAACTAGAAAAATTATAGAGAGAGCTTCATAGAAAACATGCACAGCAAGACTATATTTTATTTTGATTAAATTCTAAAATTATTTTTTTCCAATTTTACTGAAATTTTTGAACTTCACACAATATATTTTGATCATTCTAGACCCCTCCCTCTTACCTGCACCCCCATTAAAACACTCCACCCTATTTCATGTATAGTGTTACATATATTAAGTTCTATTGAATCAAATTTATATCTACAAATGTCTTTCAGTTTGATTCCATCCACTGAAACTTGGTTAACCTACCCAGCTTTATACCCCTAAAGAAAACCAACTCATCCTTTCCCAGAAGCTACCAACTGCCAATAGTTCCTCACCTACAATTGGGACTTCACCCCCACTTTCTCACTTCTATGCTGAGAATTTGTCTGAATATTGTGCATGCTATCACCATTGCTATAAATTCATATGAGTAGATACACAGCTGTCTGGAAAACTCCCATTTCCTTGTGGTCAAGCCCCTCTTTGGTGCTTAGGATCTTTCCAACCCCCTCTTCTACAAAGGATTCCTGAGCCTTGGATCACAGACTTTTGTTGCACGTGATCTCTTCAGGGATAAGTACTCTGCAGTCCCGTTTCCCCTATGCATTGGCCTGTTGTAGGTCTCTGCTGACCTTGAGGTGTGTACACCCATAAATATTGTATTAAAGATCCTTTGTATTGAGGTAGATTCTATGTAATGTGTGGAAGTTCACACAGCTCTTGAGAAACTGATCCAAGATTCAAATCTAGGCACTCTGGCTCCCAGACACTCCCATCTCAGGCAGTCTTGCCTACATCAATCTATCTTCCATTCCAGAATGGTAGAGTTTTGAAAATAGGTAAGACAGATATTTAAAGTCAAAAGCCAAAACTGCTGTAATGTTAAACTTAATCTTCTTTATAAGCATTTAAAACATTTCCTGTTGTTATTGTGACAGGCTAATAAAAAAGAAAAAGAACTTAATTAGAAACTAGCAATATATTATTC